CTCTTTATATCGTAGACTTAATTTGAATAAGTTGACACCTACTGAAATATCTTTGCAAATGGCTGATACATCAAGTGATATACCTGTCGGTATTTGTGAGGATGTGCCTGTTGTGATTGCAAACGTTACTATTTTAACGGACTTTGTTATTCTTGATACTCCCGAGGACGATAGTATGTCTATTATTCTTGGAAGACTCTTTTTGAATACTGCAGGGGTTGTTATTGATTGCAACAAAGGCCATGTCACTTTTCATGTTAATGGTAATGAGCATATGGTACACTTTCCAAGGAAACAACCTCAAGTTCATAGTATCAATTCTATTGGAAAAATTACATCGATTATTTTTGGAGGTTTCGAATTTCCTCTACCTACTGTCAAGAAGAAATATGATATTCTTATTGTTAGGGATGTGCATATCCCAGTGGAGGTAACCTAGTCTTATTCGAAAATTCTCCGGTTCCATGTTATTCGGAATGAGTTTGTTAACAAGACTTGATTAACCTTGTTAATGGATTCCTTTTGATGATCAGAGATGGATGAAGTTAGAAAACACAACTCTCTTTACCCTCCTTTTACTTTCTGTTTTTTATATAAAATAAAATAAAAATATTATTTTCTATCTGTTATCTGAATTATCCCTGCAATATAAAAATACCCCGAAAATAAAAGTTCTCCAAATGCCCTGAAATTTAAATATGATTTTTTCTGGAATATTTGAGAATATTTGGCACTGAGAACACAGCAGGGGGTGTCCACCTGGCCACGAGGGTGGAGGGCACACCCTACCCCCTGGGCGCGCCCCCTACCTCGTGGGCCCATGGTGGCCCTCCTCCACTTATTCCTGCACTCATTGATAACCCACAAGTATAGGGGATCGCAACAGCTTTCGAGGGTAGAGTATTCAACCCAAATTTATTGATTCAACACAAGGGGAGCCAAAGAATATTCTCAAGTATTAGCAGCTGAGTTGTCAATTCAACCACACCTGGAAACTTAGTATCTGCAGCAAGGTGTTTAGTAGCAAAGTATAGTCTCAAAATGGTCGAGACGTAAAGATCGATATATTGGACGACTATATTCGGACATCGGAAAGGTTCCGAGTGATTCGGGTATTTTTCGGAGTACCGGGGAGTTACGGGTATACGGGGAAAGAAGTATTGGGCCTCATGGGCCAAGTGGTGGAAGAGAGGAGGCGGGACAAGGCAGGGCGCGCGGCCCCCCTAGCCCAAACCGAATTGGACTAGGGGGCCGGCCCCCCTTTCCTCCTTTCCTCCCTTTCCTTCCTTCTCCCTCTCCTCCTTCATTTCCCCCTCCTAGTAGGAGTAGGAAAGGGGAGTCCTACTCCTACTAGTAGGAGGACTCCTCCTCCTGGCGCACCCTGCAAGGGTCGGCCGGCCTCCCCCCTTGCTCCTTTATATACGGGGGCAGGGGCACCCCAAGACACAAGTTGATTGCTCCAAGCCGTGTGCGGTGCCCCCCTCCACCATAATCCACCTCGATCATATCGTAGCGGTGCTTAGGCGAAGCCCTACGTTGGTAGCAACATCATCACGGTCATCACGCCGTCGTGCTAACGGAACTCTCCTGTGAAGCTCTGTTGGATCGGAGTTCATGGGACGTCATCGAGTTGAACGTGTGCTGAACTCGGAGGTGTCGTATGTTCAGTACGTGGATCGGTTGGATCGTGAAGACGTATGACTACATCAACCGCGTTCTCATAATGCTTCCTTTTGTGGTCTACGAGGGTACGTGGACGATACTCTTCCCTCTCGTTGCTATGCATCACCATGATCTTGCGTGTGCGTAGGAATTTTTTTGAAATTACTATGTTCCCCAACAAAATTGCCCCAAGGCATGGCAAGGAATGTATTGTGGCAAGTCTCGTGATGCAACAATTGTGCTAGAGGCCATAGCATCCGAGGATTTATGGATTTGGCATTGCTTTTTTGGTATGCCGGGCACTCTCAATGATATCAATGTGTTGCAACGGTCTCATTTGTTTGCTAGGCTTGCTAGTGGTGATGCTCCTGCTTGCAACTACACAATCAATGGGCATGAATACACAAAGGGGTACTATCTTGCAGATGGTATATACCCTCCTTGGTGCACATTTTTCAAAAGTATCAAAGAACCCAAAACTAAAAAACAATGTGAATTTGCAAGGGTGCAAGAGGCAGCCCGAAAAGACATTGAAAGAGCATTCGGTGTTTTGCAATCTAGGTTTGCCATTGTCTGTGGTCCTGCTTGGTTTTGGGATAAGAAAACCTTGAAAAATATCATGACATGATGTGTTATCCTGCACAATATAATTCTTGAAGATGAGAGATGAATGAACTTGGAATTCTTCCACGACAATACGGGTAGCCGTGTCAAACCAGCTAGAGACCCTAACCACATTAGATCTTTTCTTCAGACATACAAGGAGATTGAAAATGCAAACACACACTTTCAACTTCAGGAGGATCTTATTGAGCACCATTGGCAAAGGGCTGGACAATGACTCATTTTTGTATTCATGACAAGTTTTTTATTGCATTATTTAAGTTTGCTACGGTGATTTGAATAATTATGTGTAATGTGGATGATTATTGTATTATGTTTGATTTGAATAATTTAGTTTTGTTTCCGATTGTTGTATTATGTTGGATTTGATATTTGCGGGCCGATGAGATGCGGGATGCAGCGGTGCAAAGAGCAGACCCCGCAAAGCCGACCCCTAAGAAAACATATTCCGTGAATATGCTTTTTTACGGATCCGTTTGAGGGGTCTGCATCTGTGGCCGTCCGCACCGGCCCGCAAAGGCCATTTTGCGTGACAAACGCGTTTTGCGGGCCGGCGGGATGTGGGGTCTGCTAGAGTTTCTCTTAGTGATCCGGTAAAGGAGCAGAAAGGATTCTCACCTTTTTCCCTATAGGTGACCCTGAATTATCGAATCCACGAGAGAACAGTACCCTTTAAGTCAAGCGTTTCTCACAAGCTTTTGTAAGAGAATTAGATTTCAGCTTTTAACCGGATTGAAATCAAGTTGACACTAGAAACACTTATAGTGAAAATAGGCATGAGTATAGGGACTTATGCTTACAACCATATATTTTTGTCGGTACCATTATTATCTTAATTTGTGCCCTGAAATTCATCTACCAAGATTTGCTTGCTACGTATCAAAGTAGGGGATGTTTCCAAATTACATATTGACCAGCGTGCATCCTGACTTAAGAGTTAGTTGTCCAACCAAAGGCTCTATCTGCCGCGCGGGGTTGCCCTAGTAATTAAGATAGGAATAATCGAACAAAAGCATTTGTCGTTTAATGGCTACATCTCTTGTATCCCCAAAGATAGGATCCATGTTACCTTACTAAACATTTATGTCACTGATGTTTAGAATAACATATCATGGTCTCCCTACCCTTAGGCCTTAAGCTCTATGTGGCTAGTTTTCCATGATCCTGATTACCTGCAAGGACGAAGAACACGAACGAGACGAGAGACAACTACGAAGAAATTTTATGTTACACATATGCGATGTTAATTCAAAGTACTTCCATCGACCCCTCCAACAAATACATCAGGTTGCAAGACCTTGCCTCAACCCATGACCTTACTGAACTACTCATATATGGAGATCGGATCACAGGAAAAAAAATCATTGAAGAACACATCATAAAGATTGATTGATTGATAATATATATTACAATAGATGCCGGATGTGATGCACGGTTACAAAGTATGGGTAGATGGCTGAGAACTATGGTGATGATGAAGGTGATGGCTATGAAGATGTAGATGAGAAATGACGGCGGCTAAGGTTGATGAACATAACTGTTGCGAAGATGACGATGTATGCGAATAGTTGTTTCTCATTTGGCATCGGGCCTTTTATAAAGGTTGATCTAGTGGATGAGGCGGCTCCATTGGCAGGACACCACCACCACGACCATCACCACCACCAACCAGAAACGATGCCAAGGCGGGGTGGAAGCTAGCCGCAAGAGAAGGGAAAATGAATCATAGGTAGTAGGGTATACCTAGTTGAGTTGCTAGCCTAGCAATCCTCCACATGTCATGTGGCTATTCGATAAGAACAACAGTGTCAACAACAACATTGATTGTCGAGTTTAGTACTAACATCATTCATTTCGCTGAATAGATCATTAAAAAAAACATATTACATGTGAGAAAAAGAATTGTCGGATTAATTTTCTCCATGCCGTGCCTCGGGAAAAAAAAAATTGCACCTCAGATTCGTGGTTCACGGAGATCCCTTAAAATCGTGAGCTCATATGAGCTATGTAATGTGATTTCGAAATTAATTCCAACAAGTCGTTGTTGTATAGTGGTGAGTATTCTCGCCTGTCACGCGGGTGACCCGGGTTCGATCCCCGGCAACGGCGCATTTTTTTTAACCCGCACACGCTGTGCATCTTCTCTTCAGATTAATTGCCCATAAGTGTTCTTCTTCTGTTCCTCTGAATCCAGCTCTTCCCTTGCTCCATCTCTCTTATGAATGGGCCAACTATGCACGAGATAGATGGAATGCAAAAAGCTCTTCTTGTTCGATTGATCGATGACAATGTCACATGGGGATCCCTTGAACGATATAAGTAGGAACTAATGATTCGATTCGACTTACTCAAGAGGTTGTCCATGTCCGAATCAAACTCCGACTCCGACTCTCTCCCCCAATAGTCTCTTTATATAGTCTCGAGAAAATGCTATTCCCCCTCAGATCTCGTGGCGCGTTGTCTGAGGCTTCCTCGGGAGATCAGATCAACCGACACAGCGAACATGGCGTTGGATGAGAGGGCGGCCAAGCACGCCGTGGCCGCCGGCGCCAGCGCCGGCAAGGTGAAGCGGTGCCATCGTGCTTCGACGGAGAAGCGCCCGCTGAAGCCGTGCGCCGCCAAAAGGAAGGCGGAGGCAGACGACGACGACGAGCTGCTCGCCGCCAAGAAGAAGGCCTTCTACACCAAGTCAGGTCCAATCAGAAAGATCAAAGATGAGGCGGCTGCCGCGGGCGGAGGTGGCCTCCATCCTCTCCAGCCGGATCCATCCCGATCGCGCCCCTTCCTGCTACAAGGCGCTGAAGCTCCAGAACCCGGACCTGATTCCCTCGCCGGAAGAGGAGATGGACGAGCTCAAGGTGGCAGAGTATGCTGATGCGCGCGACTTCTATGAGGCTGCAGAGGAATTCTCAATATTCCAGGCGTGGGTGCGGAGCGAGTACGCCAAGTATGGCTACGTCGAGGTTGACGACGACTACCTCGCTCACCGGGAACAGGTTCGAGCTTGTAGCGATAGAGCGCGGGAGGCTGCGCTCGAAGCGATCGACTTCTCTGATGGAGACGAAGACCTGAAGATATTTTTTAGGAACAGACAGCACTGAACCCATCCATATTGCCTGGATGAGCAATCTGCGACCGCAAGTTCTAAGTTTAGCGATGTGTTTCTGTTGTCATGTTAATTGTGATCCATCGATATTATTATGGACGCTTTGTATATTCAGTTATTCACTATGTATACCAGTCAGTTTTCCTGGAGGTTGCGGTTCTGTTCTTACATTTGCTTTTTTTTTTAGAAAAGGAGGATGACCCCCGGCCTCTGCATTTGGGAGATGCATACGGCCACTTTATTGATTATTCTCGAGGACCTTACAAAGTATTACAACAATATGCCTGAATCCGTCATCTTGGCAACATATGCCACTACTCCTATCCATATGATGAAGGGGTGCTACCTGGCCCACATACCCGGTCTACTCACCTAAGCCTATCATCAAAAGCCAGAAGCCCCAGCCGAGCCACATACCGGGTCCGGGGCATAAACTAGTCTGACGCGCTCACATGTGTCGTCGCCGCCATCTTCCACAGGTCCATCTTCAGAGCAGATATTGAGGCTTCTACCTTGTCAGGCCACTCCGCCATCGACGTCACCTTGACGCCAGACAACTACCTTCACCTGCGCGAGTCCATCACCGCGCATCGGGCGCCGAGTCTCCACTACACCATGCCGTTGAGATCCGCCGTCATCAATGTGAAGGATGAAGTACCGCTCCACCAAAAAAGGCGCCCGCTGGTCCCTCGATCCCGTATACGCCTCCAAGAATGACGCCCCCAAGGAGGAAACGACACCAACGCGCCGCCGTCATCCGATCAACTGATATAGGGTTTCCCCCGAAGGTAGCGGATAGAGGTCTAGAGCTTCTTCACGGCGATGCCTTCAAGAAGGTAATGACACCTCAGGGTGCCACCAACGCCGGTCTTGGCATCAAGCCGAGCACAAGGTTTTCACCCGGATCCGCTCGAAGAACCTCCATCACGTATTGTGTGCACGGATCGCCGCCGATCTGAGCTGCCGCACATGGAGCAGCCGCACCGGCCAGATCAGATCTGTCCGGAGGGCACAACCCGCATGGTGCCGACCCAACCACCAGGCCCTCCATGCCGCCACCGCCGATCCGAGGTCAGATGATGTGTCGCCGCAGACCCGGTCGCCGCCGCCGAACGCCGCCACGCAGCCCGAGGCAGGGCCGGCTGCCGCACCCCACCATCGCCACCCTTGGCCGAGGCAGCCGCTGCGCCGCCGGAAGGCAGGCCTGCCGCGCCGCGAGGCCAGATCGGCCGAGCCACCCACGCCGCGGGGCTCCGCACCGCCCGCACGGCGCAGGCAAGAGGGAAGACCCCCGCCACCGCCATCAGCCCCGGGCAGTGGCGGATCCAAGACCCAGGCCGGGGGGGGGGGGCCTGGGCCCGGGGCGTGAGGAGCAGTTCCTTCATATAGTGTAGCACCATTGATACTGTTTAGCACTGAGCTGACACTGTAGTAAGCTTGGGGCCCGGGGCGAGGCTCAATTCTGGATCCACCCCTGGCCCTGGCCTATAGCCGGCGGCGTCCTTCGGCAGCGGCGGAGGGAGGGGAGGACGGATGGGGACCCCTGGCGGCTAGGGTTTTAGATCCCGCCCGAGTCGCCCGAGCGGGGGCGACGCGGGGGCGTATCCTTACATTTGCATGAATGTGTGTTTGTTTCCCTGCAGCTGCCAAGATTCTTCAGTTTTTCATGATGTTTCCAAATTGCCACACAGTGTTGCGCGCTCAAAACCTTGTAGGTTTAATGAGTATGTGAGTTATAAACCTTGTGATGAACAACGTGCTCTGCCCTGTAAGGATGTAACCTTACACTAGAGGTTAGAACATGCACTATTTTTAGGCAAAGTTAGAACATACTCGGTTTTGCCTCTTTTGTTCTCCATCGGTTGTTAGTATGTGAACAATTGTATCATGATTGGGTATGATCCTAAACAAAACAATGTCACCTGCTTACTTATAAATGCCTTGGGTGGTATTTACACACTTGTTTCTTAAATGGCGTGCCACAAGCTTAGCTCGATGCTGCCACTGTGTTTCCATCTCATGGTGCGGTTAGATCTGAGTCATCGAGATTCAGCAGAGCAAACTTGTTTAAACCTAACAGTTTGAAGAAGCAGCGGCTGGGAAGTCGTCGATGCAGACCAAATACGTCAACGGCCACGATCTGCGAAGCAAATCACTGCCCAGGAGAAGAAACTGTGAGAAAGGGCGTGTAGAAACTCCGAAGACCATGAAAGCCTGCCGAATCCAGATGGATCCACCAGAAACCAAAACCAACCCATCCAGGAAGACCCACCAGTGACGATAAACACACCATTGGAACGGGGAAAGGATGGGAATGACATGAGGATAGACTCCCTAGTTTCATTGCCAAAACAGAACATCGTCGCCTGTGTAGGCTAGGCACTGGTGAATACCTTGTTGTACCCCTCTGTCTTTCATGATGATGAGAAATGCGTGTCTGCAGTTTTATCGGCACTGGCAATCACGTTCAATGATATGTACTGGCTTGTGACAAGCAATTGGAGATCGAGCTGTTAAAGAAACTTGCATTATGACCTCCAGTGATATGTAGTACTCTTGTTATGATCCATCCGTACTATATTGTGATCCATGTCAACTGTGCGAAGCTAAGAACTGATGAACGCCTTGTATAATAATTCAGTATATTTGCAAAAAAAGTGTTTTTGTGGTCTTATGGCTGTTGTGTGCTTCGCTTCTTCATCGGTTATTAGTTTGTCAACCGGTTCTGTTTTCGTTACAAAAACAAAACATGGCCACCAAGTTCCAGGCTGCAGCAGATTTGAGTGCGAAGGCTGGCCGGCTCTGTGGAGAGATGGAGAAGGCATCTAACTGGTTTTTACTTGTCCCCTTCGGCTTTTCCACCGATGAGTTTTGACGAGTTCATGTCTGTAGCCTGCTGGGGTGCACAGCATGGGAGCGAAGAAAATTTTGGTCGGCTGGGCAGCTTTTGGAGGGTCTGCTTGGGCCATTTGAACAACTCCTAGTGAGTTAATTAGTCTGTTTTCGTATACTGTTTCCGTTAGAGATTAATCAAAGTGTGCTGGCCTTGAGTCATTTTCGGTATGTTTTTAATTGGGCGGAAAATTTGATGGCTTCATCCATATAGTTGTCAGTTAAGCCTTACGAGCAATACGTTGAATTCTGCATTTGATAAGCTAGATCAAGCAGAGTTTCTAAACTGACAAGTGGGCTGTACATTTGCGTTATTGCTTATCAAACATACTACATTAGAAACCTGTTCATGTAATGGTTTGCAGGCATAGTTTCAGAAACTAAACTAAGTTTCTTGGCTGTTAATTTTTATTTTTATTTAGAAAAGAAGGAGGACTCCCGGTCTCTGCATCCGAACGATGCATGCGGCCACTTTATTAATTATTTACACAAGACTTTATTAATTATTTACACAAGACTTTACAATAAGACTAAAGCCACCGTCTAGGTAACATCTGTCGCTACTCCTATCTAGTTGATGAAGGGATGCTGATAGTCTGGGCCTAATACCAAACAGACCTCGCAGCCAAACCTAAACATCTAAGACCTGAGGTCCCAACCAGGACGCTTGTCGGGTATGGGGCACCTACCAGTCCGGCGCACTCCTCAACCAGGACGCCTACCGGGTATGAGGCCGCCGCAGCCACCTGCCACCAATCCATCTTTAGAGTTGTACTGTTGTATCTACCATGCCAGGTCTCTCTGCCATCGACGCCAACATCCCACGCGAGTCCATCCTCCCACATCGAACGCTGAATCTGCACTGCGCCACGCCGTCGAGATCCGTTGCCATCAATGTGTAGGATGAAGCACCGCTCCACCAAAGATGTCGTCCGCTAGTCCCGCGAGGCTGAGTGCACCTCCAAGAATGCCGCCCCCAAGGAGGTAACAACACATGATTGCCGCCAACATCCGATCAGCTGATCTAGGGTTTTCTCCGGAGGTGTTGAGTGGAGTTGGGAGCTTCACCTCGATGATGCCTTCATGAAGGAAACGATGATAAGGGCATCGTCATCACCGGCTCCGGCCATCGACCAAAGACCAGGTTTTCACCCGGATCAGTCCCAAGTAATCCACCCGACAACCTGTGCACCGTCTCGACCGCCTTCAAAGACTCAGATCTAGCCGCCTAGATCTGGCGACCAACCGCAACAGCAGTGCCACCGTAGGAGCCCTGGCGTACCGGCCACTGCCTGAGTGTGCCACCACTGGAGCCTAGGAGGAGGGTTCCCACCCCGCCTCGCCAAGCCGCGAGAGCCGCCGAGATGGATCCCGCGCGCTCGTCACCGTCTCTGATCCGAACCAATCCATAGATCAGATCGCCGTCACAGATCCGCCTTAGAAAGGGACTGCACCACGCCATGCCGCCGCGGAAGCCCTAGCTTCACCAGCCACCACCATCCAGGGCCGTCGCCTCGGGATCCAGACAGAACATCGCCGCTGCCACCGGCCATGTTCCGCCGCCATCGCCCGGCGACCTCCTCCAATGGTGGCGAAGGGAAGGAAGAGGTTGGTGGAGCCCGGCGGCGGTGGGGGTTAGGGTTCCGCCCGAGCCGCCCTAGCGGGGGGCGACGCGGGGGACGGCGAGCATGCCAGAAAAGCCGAAGCTGCCTGACACCATTAAAAATGGGGGAGAATTTCACTCCCCCGACCTCTGCACAAAGTAGAGATGCATACGGCCATTTTAGTATGATTATCAAGATAAACATGATCCTCAGAAGTTTTTTGGCTGTTATGATGTGCTACATCCATGATTCATTGTCGAATATAGGATTGAAATGTTTGCAGTTGCTGTTAGATGTTAGGTTTGAGTACTCCATAAATTAAGTGTTTTGCTGAAAGACTGATCTACCCGCAAGAAAACTTCAGAAGAAAATAAGTGCATACCGATGGGGACAATCTAATCTACCTGCAGTTGGTCCTCCCAATCTACCGACAGAAATCACTAGCCACCAATCGTGCCAATCACTAGCAGTACCTGCACGCCGGAGCGAGCTTGCACTTGACCTTCTCGAAGACGACGGCCGGCGTGCCGGGCGGCGCGAGCTGCAGCTTGAGCGGGCATTTGGCCTGGAACTTGCACTTGGTGAAGTGCGCCTGGTACCTGACCTCGCCCGACAGCGCCACCTCCACCTGGAACACCCCCGTCTTGTTCTCCCCCTTGAACTCGGCCACGCCGGCGTTGCCGAGCGCGACGTAGGCGCCGTCGGAGCCGGAGACGAGGTGGTGCACCTGGGTCTTGCCAGCGGGGTGCGTGGAGCCCTCGTCGGCGAGCCTGACCCGCTCGAAGCGCTGGCCGTCGAAGCTGTAGTCGGCCTCGAGCGGCTGGGTGTTCCTGACGCTCATGGCCCAGTTCCTGTTCCGGACGGTGAGCGTGAGCGAGAGGTTGTAGGCGAAGGCGGTGGCCGGGGACGTGGCCAGCGCGAGCCGCGTGAGGGAGGCGTCGACGACGGCGACCTCGGCGTGGCGGATGAAGCAGTAGGCCAAGAGGAGGACGAGGAGGAGGACGACGCCGGCGAGGACGGCGAGGCAGCACGCGCAGCAGAGGATGGTGTCGCGCGCGCCGGAGGAGACGCAGGGGCAGCAGCGGTCGCAGAATGCGTCGTAGCAGCCGCACTCGCTGCAGCACATGGCTGCCTGTGGCCGAGCCTCGATCTTGAGCTGGATAGCTCTTGAGCTAGCTAGATTTTGGATGGCACTGCCGGGCTGAGGTAGGGGGTGGCGGCTTTTTGGAGTTTCAGCTACCGGTCGATGCGGATTGAGGAATTGGGGATTTATTTTTCACTCGATATGAAACGTGGATCCCTGACAGCAACGGCAAAACACCAACGAGTGGAGGACCAATGTTCAGTCAATGGGTCAACTGGTTAAGTCGTCGAGCATAGGGTTTAAGAACTTAAAAAAGTCCCTATAAGTCCCATCTAAACCAAATAGAAGAGACTTATATGGACTTAAAATGAAGATTTGGAACTTATAAAATAAGACTTTCAAGGAAGGACTTATAGGGACTTATAGTTGTAATATGGTCTTTTAGTCCATATTAAGTCCCAAGAACCAAACAGGTAGGGACTTTTTAGGGACTTGAAACTTATAAGTTGGGACTAAAAAAAGGCATAGGACTTATAAACCAAACCGGGCCTAATTGTGCGCGACTTTCCTTAAAAACTAATCAACCCTTCCTCCCCATGCCTGGGTGTCGCCCCGCAAGGCTACTCAGGGGCGACAAGGGTTTCCCCTGCTACGACATTCCCTTTCCCCCTCCTTCCTCGCCACCACCTGATACGGTCATCGGGACAAGCCCGTGCTGGTGCCGGTGACGGTGGCAGTGAGGATTGTCTTTGAAATGTCCATGCGGGAGTATATTGCGACTATATAATTTTCGCCATCAGCCAGCCTTTGAAATGTCAGCTTTCTTCAGTTCTCTACCTCTAATTGTCTTGTGAAGGCACTGCCCATAAGTGAAAGCGTTAAATATGTTACATCGCTCTGAACCCATTTAAATATTAAAAATTTGTGTTCTTTACTAATTCTTTCATTGTTGTCATCTTATAGGAGGATGAAGAAATGGCGTGTAAAGATTGAAGAGTGAAAATGCCCCTGCTTATTATTACGTGTTTTCATTTATGTTAGTAATATGAACTGAGTGGAGCTTGCGAGTATGTTGTTTGTGAGCTTGTTATCAAGTTAAACACTTAAAGCTACTAGTAATAATGTACGTGCAATGCACGTTTATATTAGGTAGGATATTAGTTGCGCGTTATATTAGGTAAGATATATTTGTTGCATGTTGGTATTTGGTAACATATCAATCGCTTTTTCACGGGAATGGTAAGATATTAATTACATGGCAGATTTCAAGGGATAGTATTGAGTCAAAACGTGTTTATAACCAATGATAGTGGTGGGTAATTAGCGCGTTAAACGTGTTTGGTGCTCAACATTGGAACGATTTGAACCGCTAGATAACATGATTTGACAGTCGAGATGGTTTGGATCTTTTTATATTGGTATAGATATATGGAATAGCTTATTTGTATATAAATTCACATTGATGACTGCTATTCTTTTTTCCCTCTTGTGGATCAGGAGGTTTAGTACACTGAAATCTTATTTTATACTCTCTTCTGTGGATCAGGAGGTTTCGTACAACGAAATCTTTATCTTCTACTCTCTTCTATGGATTGTGTAGTTTCACCCACCAAAATATTGTCTTATTTTCTCTACAAGCCCAACATCAGCCCTTGAAGTTGGATTACTCTATCCATCTGCACATGCCGCTGTTGGATCAATCACCGGATGTGCACCCGTTCTCTCTTCACACATATCTCATCTATATATATACTACTTGAGTTGTTCATGTCAACATGTAGCCTCGACGCTGAGGGTGATGCATTGTAACTCATGTTGAAGTAGGCATGTCTGAAAGCACGATACGCAAGATATTAGGTGAGCGCTACGGTTACCTTGCATGTGATTTTTGAAAGGTCTCGTCTAGTTTCTTTTTTCTTTTACTGTTTTTTGGCTTTCTTTCTGGGTATTTTCAGGTTTTTATTTTCAATTTTCTCTGATCATATTTTCCTTTTTATTTTTTATATTTTCCGGTTATATTATTTCTTTATTTTTCAACTATATGCAGACATTTGTACAAATACATGTCCGTTATATTTTAAATACATGTTAAATATTTTCTTGAAGAGACGTTGAACATATTTAAACACACATTGAACATTTTTTTAAGATGTTGAATAATTTCTAAAGCACGTTAAACATTATTTAAATAATCGGTGAACATTTTTTTAATACATGGTGAACATTTTTTAAACACACACTGAACATCTAATACACAATGAACATTTAAATATAGCATTTTTAAATACATGGAGAAAATTTTATAAATACAAGGTGATCACTTTGTAAACACATTATGATTTTTATTAATGTAATGAACATTTTTTATTATCATGAACATTTTGTGTATTGTATGAATATATTTTAGAATATCAGAACGCTAAAGAAACTGGAAAAAACAAACGTCGGAAACCAGCAATAAAACCAGAAAAGGCACAGATCCAAATCACCGTTACAGGGACACTGTATAATGGGCCGGGCCTTGAAGGAGCCCCTATAGGCGAGCGGGCGAGCGAGCTCGCTACGGCGAATACCTAGGCGCTCCCAGCTTCGATTCCCTCCACCCGCCGCCGCCGGAGACGCCACGCCCTCCGCCGTCGTCGACCTGCCGGAGGCACTCAGAAAGCAGAGGCGGAGAGATGTGGTACCTTTGCGTCTTCTACCACAGGCTCCTGGACTACCGGCGGCCGGAAGTGCAATCGCTCGCTGAGCTCTTCGGCGGCCCCGGCGCCGGGGACGCCGTCGAGTGGCGTATGCCCGAGAACCACCACGAGGACTCCCCCTTCCACCTCGTCCGCCTCCCCGGCGACGAGCGTCTCGCCGCTCAGATCGCCAACCGCAGTAAGCGAGCTCCCCTCGCCATCCTTGATTGATTTATACTGTAGTACTGTACCTAGCATCTCGCGTTTATGCCGGACACCGCATGTGCCAGGCCTGCTCGTGAAGGGGATCTTTGAACTGTGGGGGCAAGGCGCCACCTACGACGAACTGGAGAAGGCGATACGGCAGTACCCCGACGAGAGGAAGCTGCCGTACCTGACGCCCGAAAGCTCGTTCAAGATTGTCGTCGACAGCTTCGGCAAGGTGATCAGCTTCGAAGAGCAGAATGAGATCATAAAGGGGTTCGCTTACATCCCATTCGAGGTTGCTGCCACAGTTCTTCTACTACCTTGTAGTTGTACTATTAATTTCAGAGGTAGGCATTTGTGGATGCCAATTGTTCGTTCTTTTTATGATGGGTGTTGTTTCTCATGTTTTAGGGCCGTGTTAATTTGAAGAAGCCCGAGCACAAGTTCTTTGTCTTGGAGACCGATGACTATGGGTCACAAAATGGCCTCCCGCCAGTTGTCCAGAAGACGGTATTCTTTGGCCGGGAGGTTGGAGCAGCAGATAGGCATCTATTGCCGACGTATCAGTTGAAGAGCCGGAAGTACATTGGTCCGACTGCAATGGATTGTGAAATGGCGTTTCTCATGGCCAACCAAGGGCTCGCACGGCCTGGGAAACTTGTGTATGACCCTTTTGTTGGCACTGGGAGTATTTTAGTCGCTGCTGCGCATTTTGGAGCCATGACTATGGTTTGTGCTTATTGCAGAAATATATACATAGCTGTGCTTTTGCTAGTCAATGTCTCGCTTATAAAGTTCTTTCAGGGTGCAGATATTGATATAAGGGTTGTGCGGGATGGCCGTGGCCCTGATTGCAACATTTGGAGCAACTTTGAGCAGGTAATTAGGTGGACTTGACCAAATTTCAGTTCAGAAAGCTTCTTGCATGTCTGCCATGAGACTTGTCTGAATCATCATTATTTGAGGCTAATTGGTTTGATGCCAAAAGTTGGCATGCCAATTTTTGGGACGATGCTTCGGTGCCTTAAGGCACCTACCTTTGTGTCTATGACATGTGGGCTCAACAGGTGGCTGGCCCACATGTCAGTGACCCAAAGGCAGGTGCCTTTAAGGCACCGAAGCTGCGTCCCAATTTTTGACAACCGCCAAATGTTGGCTAGAGATTGGTTGCATACGAACTTTCGTTCCCAATGTCACAAAAGGTTGCCAAATGTTGGCAACTTTTAATTTTGCCAAATGTTGGCTTGCCAAATATTGGCAATGCCAAATGTTGGCAGCAAACCAATCAGCCGATCTTGAAGTAGTACATCTTTTTATTTAGTTTGTGAGTTGGTGGATACCTATAATTCATCTAATGTATTCATATTATCTTATTCAGTACAAGTTGCCAGAGCCTTTGTGTGTGCTGCGAGCAGATAACAACCTGCCACCTTGGCGTCCAGGCTTGAAGGAGGTACACTAGCCTACATTTTGTGTTGTTTGTGCAATGTTTCAGTGCATCACTGTTGCAGTTTTGGAATTGTTCATTAGTGGCTGGTCGGAAATGAAGAAAATCATCAGCAACTATGTCTCTTTTGCTCAAATGCATGTTGCCAAATGTTTGTAGTTGTGCTTGAAGTCTTGCATGGATGCGCATGACATGATATACTCACATAGTCGAATGCTGATATGACCTTCATGTGATTGGTATGTCTATCTTAATTTGTAACAAATTCACCATGAAATGTTTGTTTTTTAGCCCATGAGAAAATTAATTGATGGTTATTGTTTGATTAATACTCCTTAAAAGCATAGTTAAAAAAGTCACGCCTAGGCTCTAGGTGATAGCAAAACGCCTAGCTTAATCTGCGCATAATTGCGCATAAGCGTGCGCCTTAGTCAGAAAAGCGCAAGGCACTGACAAAATGCACATTTGCCTACCGCTTTTTTTAATTATGCTTAAAAGCAGTACCTGGAGCATACTGTATAAACTACTGCATGATATATCACCTGAATTACTATGTGAAAAAATCTTTAGAATATTGTGAGATAGAACAACTGTATTATGTTAACATTGCTTTGTGATTTTGATTTCAATTGTGCTTATATGATACAGTCACATAGTGGAATGTTTATATGACCTTCATATTGTTGGTATATATCCATATTTAATTTGAAACAAATTCACCATGAAATTTGATTTTTAGTCCCATGAGAATATTTGATGGTTGTTATTTGCTTAGTACTCCTTAAAAGCAGTACCTGGAGCACACTGTGGAAACTACTGCAAGATATATCAACTGAATTACTATGTGAAAAAATATTTAGACTATTGTGTGATAGAATAAATGTACTATTTTAACATTGCTTTGTGATTGTGGTCTAGAACTGAACATTGCATCTTTCCTTTGGTGCTAGTATTATGAGGTTATCTTATGTGTAAGCTGCATGCTGCTACTCCTCGAATACTGTCTAATTCTGTTGTCTTGGCCACAAGAAATGATAAGCTACTGCTGCTTTTGTCCATCAGATATTTGATGCAATCATTTGCGACCCCCCATATGGTGTCCGAGCTGGTGGGCGCAAGTCGGGTGGTCGGAAGCTCCTAAAAGGAATCATCCCTCCGTACACAGTTCCGGACGAGAAGAGAGAGAACCACATTCCATCAACCGCACCATATAGTCTTGCGGAATGTGTTCATGACCTGCTCCACCTTGCTGCAAGAATGCTGGTGGTTGGCGGCAGGCTCGTCTTCTTCTATCCAATGTTGCGGGAGGATGATGCTGCTGGTGTGGCGAAATTTCCGGAGCACCCTTGCTTCAAGCTGGTGTCCTCCTGCGAGCAGATCCTAAGCCTGCGGTACAGCCGGGTCCTGCTGACCATGGTGAAGGTGGGGCCCTGCACGGAGGAGGTCGAGAGGATGGGCGAGGAACGGCACCAGGAGTTCAGGGAGAACCACCAGAAATGGATGGAGGAGGGCAACCTGCACACTGCCGTGTTCAGCCCGGCGGAGCATGATAAGAAGCCCGAATCTGATAGAGGTTCCAAGCCCAAGTACAGAGGCAAGTACGTGTAGTGGTGGAAACACTCTGGGATCGATGATGACAATTTTGTTGATCTTCTGCTGTTTGTATCTTTTAGTAATGGCTCTTGTATGGCCTGTGCTAGGTTTGCAAGCTAGCGCCAATTAGTGCAAGGAACTGTATGATGAACTCTCAACTTGATATCATGCGAGGCTGGCTCCTTTTGATGATGAACTGTAGTTTTCTTACTTTTTTTTCCTTGTTTGATGATGAACTGTAGTTTTCTTGCTTGTTTTTCCTGGTTTGCGTCTCGAGCCACTGCTTTTTTCTAGAACATAAACTGCTCTGCTTTATTCAGATAAAAATTATACAAATGTAGTTTTACATAACAGACTTTGCAAGACAGAAAAATGAGAATCCCTAATACCGAGGAATTGCTTTTGACGAGAATCATCCACACCGAGAAGGGCATCGCTGTAGCAAGGAACCATACATAACAGACTTTGCAAGACACAAAAAAAATAGCAATACCTAATACCGATGAGTTGCCTTTGACGAGCATCTGCATCATCCACAGTGAGAAGAGCATGTTGTAGCAAGGAACCATCTGCGCCGTCGTCAGGACTCCACCAAGGAAATTCTCCTTCAGGTTTTTTAAGTCGGTTGAGCCACCTGAGCTATCCGGTATATGAAACAAGTGAATGCGTCTTGGCCGTGACGGCAAAGTCCTTGGATCAGCGAAGAAAGAAACCAAACTGTAGCCAGGCTTGTGCTAGGTCAAGCTAGCGCTTATCAGTGCAAGGTGTTGTATGATGAACTCTCTACTTGATATCATGCCAGGATAGAGGCATTTTGATGATGAGTTGTAGCTTTTTTTACTTCTGTTTCCTGGCTACTCCCTCCGTTTCACAATACATGTCTTTTCTTTATCAAAATATAGATGTATCTAGACATATTTTAGTATATAGGTATATCCATTTTTGGACAAATAAAAGTCAAGTATTTTGAAACGGAGGGAGTACTACTTAGGGCGTGTTTGGATGCTCTCCGCTCCGGAGTCGGCAGAGCGACGCCGAACAGGTAAACTTGTGGAGTATAAAATGGAGAGTGAAGCCGGTTGCAGGCAAAAAATGTGGAGCAGCTATTTTTGAGATCTCAGATCCTTAAATCAAGGAGTTGATAAGATTTACGACGAAACTGCCATCGCTAAGTGAAAACGGTTCGCGTGCGCACGCC